CACAACACTAAAATTGACCAAAATATTTACTATAACGTCAACTATCAAAATGGCGTCGATACAGCAGCGCCCTTTTGACCCTTTGTTATTTTTGATTGACTGATGAAGATCTATCGTACCGCAGAGCCATCTATGCAAAGAAGGTTATAGTTTTTGAGTTATAAGAAAGTGACCATATTAACTGGATGACCATATTACCCTCAAGTATTACTGGTTATTAATACCATTCAGATCGGAGGAAAGCAATGCAAGCGCAGCTATTTGGCATCACAAATAGGTAAGAAGGTAGTAGGTATCTACTCAGACGGAATTCTAAGTAGAAAAACAGCCCTTCAAAAGAGTTCTATATTTCGGTTAAAGTTTGTATGTAACTCGTTTAACAGCGTTTAATTCGTGTTCAATTTAAATAATGAATGTAAAATAAAAAATCAAACATTGTGCATACATGCAAAGTGCTTTTTGGATTTGGATACCAATTGACAATTTAAAATCCGAATTCCTATAAAAGATTGTTTTTTTGTGTTGTGTTTTGTGATATATTCTCATGAATATGTCATAAAACCCGTGAGAGAAGTAAAAGTTTTGTCACATACTTACATAATTATGTTTTGCTAAATCATTTCAGATTATGTGTAAAGGTAGCTTTGTTTTTTTCTCTCTTTATTGTTAATTGTAACACGTAACCACATAATTCATACTTAATCAAACATGCAAACTTTTAGATGCATTTGGCCTTATATGCTTAATCAGTAAATTAATACACAATAAAAAATTAAAGAAAAAAGAAGTACCCGCTAAGAATTGCAACGTTAGAATAAACTTAGAAACAATAGACCGTAAACGGCACCTTAAGACTAATGTCAAGATTTATTGTCCGTAAGAAAAAACCCTTCCACGATATTACCACATGTAATGCGTTCACAAATACCCTTAATATGAACGGAATAAGACTTATACTACATGTATTAATGTACATCTCTCTCAAAGTAGAAATACAACGATTTGATCGTCATCGTTTGTGAGAAAGAGAGAGCCTTAGCTGGGGTTCTCCATCACTTTTTTACCTTTTAATGTAGAATCGAATCAAGCAATAGAAAATACGATTGTCGTAGGGATGTCCTAACGATATACCTAATGTATCGATAATAATTTATAAACTATTAACGTACAATTATATAAAGGTTTTTTTAAATTACTTAACCATACCTAATAAATTAACCATATCAAATATTTTTTCAAGTCTGTATCTGAATTTCCTGCATTTATATGAAACAAAATTAGATACGATAATGTGTGAAGTTGAATTAAAGTGTATTCGTGTAGTTAAAGTGTATGTTGTATGCTTAAATTTCTCAAGAAACTAATAATTATTTTATAATTAATTTTTTTTTAATTAAAAAAATTTTTAAATATGAATAACGCCAATAACGTGTAACTTTACTAATTGAAGAAAATATCATCAATATACATTTCTTTGTCTTTAACTTACCCACAAAATTATAAACAAAGTAACTACATACACTATTAAATTATTAAACGCATTTACAAAAATATCGACAATATTCTAGAACTGAACAACACTATAAAACATCGATGCGGGTTCATCAAAGTGCGGCGTACAGACAATAACTGAGAAATATTAAATTATAATAAAATTAACTCTGGATTACTTTTTATACCGTTATTGTATGTAGCAGTATGAATTATTAGAAGGAGCATTATATTATTGCTGAAGTAAGAGTACCTACCCTATGTTATATGTTAAGTATATTAATTTTATTAACTGCTCGTGTAGCTTGTTTCCCTAACTTGATTAAATTATCAATTAACATTTAACTAACAACTTATAACGTAACTACATTATTAACTTACTTATTCTTTTTATAATTTTGCTTTCATATACAATAATTTGCGCTCTTAACTTGTTAAGAATTATTAATTCTGTTATTTCTGTAATAGCTGTAACAGTTTAAAATTATTATATATAAGACGTATAGTAAGTCGCTACAGGGGTAAGATCCACCAATAAACCTAAACCTTGCACAGAAAAGACATCACGAACTTGGAACTGTGTCTGTCTATATATCTAATAAAGCATGTACGAAATTATAAAAAATCTTTAGACTATTATATATCCTACACAGATTATCAAAAGTAATGTCGAAACCCACCTGCATCTGTCGACCCATAATATATCTCATATTAAATTGCCAAGTCGTGGTTGATCGTCGAAAAAGTTAGGTTTAATACTTAATTTTTGCATCAAAATCGGATCTGAGATTAAAATAGAATGTGTATGTAAATAAGAAATTTACTTATTTGTGATCGGAAGCCACTCTATACGTTGTACAGTCTACAGTCACACCGTCTCACGGATAGGCCGTCGGAACGTATGTGATAACGATTATTCATTCTACACGGCGACACATGACGAATCAATCTGTTACGAACGAATCCAATCGAGCGATAGTTTGTGTGTTGTTGTTATCTGTGGTAGAGGCTTGGCGGGAAATACAGACGGGGAGGGAAAATAGCCGCCATAATGCGGTTTCGTTTTTTACTGTACTTGTAGTAATAGTAGCACATTGCTTTGAATCCATTAAAAAGGAGTCGGCACTTAAAAATATACTGGTTTTAAAGTTTTATCGGTAGCACTAGCAGCCATTTTTATAGCGTGAACACCTGAACAGAATTACGCTAAGAAAAAATGCGATATACAAAATTTATTGACCATAATAAAAAAAGTAATTCAATGGTTTAAATGAAATAGATGCGAAAAATAATGGAAACATGAGGGCCTGGAAGAAGGATATGATGACTTAGTTTCCAAATATCAAAGTAGTAAGGGGTCATGCCTCATACTGCTAACTAACAAATGAAGCTCTAGCGACCCACAAATGGTGGCAGTAAGGCAGGAAGCATCTGCCAAGGGTGCGAGACGGCTGGTTCAAAGACCGCCAATATGCCTTGAGATCATGCCGATTATGGCAAATGTTCCCAATAGATAGGTCTATCAGTGGTTTTTACGGGCTGATGATGAAGAAAAAGAATGTTTCACTATAAAATTTAACGCATAGAACCTACAATGCTCAAGGGCTAAGCGGTTTCTGTAAATTTTACAGTACTCAAGCAACCCGGGTTCTATCCCTGCCACGTGCTCGGCGGTGAAGGGAAAACTTAACAATTTTTTATTTGTTTGCCTGTGGCCCCACACCACTCGTAAGCATGCTTGACTCTTGAGTACCGATAGTACCATACCGATAGTATCTTGCATTGGTACAAGTATTTCGCTTAAAACGTATAAAATAGAAATAAAAAGAAAAACTCTGAGTAATTATAACGTTAAAGGAACCTCGTATTTGACAGATATTAAAAAGATGTCTTTTAATAATACGTCTTACAATCTACTGCCGGTGTCGATAAATATATTTACATTATTTTTTATTCTAAAGCTAACAGATTAGAGTCTAATTTTAGTTGCACAGTGATTGGAATAGGTGGCAAAGAAAAAGTCTAAGTGAACGTACGCACTTGGCGGTTAATTACTGACTTGTGACATAATTACTATACGGGGATAAGCGTTGTCTGTCGCATACTTTTTATATTTTTTTCCGTAAAACGTGACGGCTAAAATACTTAATGTTTTTACTATGGTACACCAGACAGCTGAAACATTATGTAAAAGAAGAAAGTCTTCCTGCAAGTCGTTATGTGCAATACAACCTAAAACCCATCTTAGGTTTTTAAGTAACGGGGGCTAATAATTTTCCATATGTCGCTAGTTGACACTGAGGTAAAATTTTTGTTACATAATGTAATTTAATTGAAAAGTTTCTAGAGTATTATATTGATACACAAAACAATGCGTCAGTGGTTTGCTCTTTAATTTTTTGCACATTTGTAACTTTTTTAATTTTTGTACTTTTATGAATATGTGTGGTTTGGTTCATTTATTTTAATGTTATAAATATAAAATGTAGCTAATGGTACAAAGAGAAACAATAACTTCTACATTTTCCGAACAAATTAACTTCCCCACTATGAAATCTGTCAAATATTATACCACACTTTTAAATGGTGTCGCCCTGGTGACAGAAAAAGTCGTGGATGCCCTAATTGAGTTAAAAGCTAAAAGTTAAAATTATTGGAACAGGTATATTACAGTTACTGTGTGATGGTAAGGTAAGATACGTCATCTCATTTTATACCATGGATACCATAAAGTTGACTATGGGAAATGGCAAAAGATCACTTGAACTCATGATAGATGTAATCTCTAAAGTATATTCCAATTCCCAGTCTAAACTATCCATATTGCATATTGATGTCGGCAAGCAGCGTCAAATGTTAGCAGACGCGTGATGTTGCCTATCTGCCTGCTGACCGTCTCAGTTCCTATAAATCCAATAATGGATGAGACCCATGTCGAGCACTATATTACGGGCCGGTGAAGAAAATATTGTAGTGTGAATCGATAAACTTATGGCCAAATACTCAAACTCTACTCAATGTTAAGATGTCGTTAAGTCTCGGTGTCACATTCACTTTGACTTAAAGTGATAGAGTCATCACGATACTTAACGGCATCTTAAAATTGAGCAGCATTTGACTGTTTGGGATTACAGCCATAATTTTCTTATCTACTTTTTTCTCTCTATTCATCATCATCACAAGCCCGCTGTTGCGCATAAGCCTCCCCCGGAACGCCATAAAATAGTGCACATTCCACCTCTAAAAGTGCCTAAAAAATTCCACATTTCCGAGTAACAAGTTTGTAAAAAAATGTATTTGAACTCTCTCTCGCTCTCTCTCTCTCTCTCTCTCTATATATATATATATATATATATATATATATATATATATATATATATAAAGTTCTATTCGTATCTACACAGATAACAAAAACATATAAAGATTGATTATATTTTCACTCCTTGTTTTCGTGTTTCTTCCGGTTTAAAACGCGGCAATGTTAATAAAACCATCATACAATAACTTACCTGCGTTTGAGTTAACCCTAAACTCGCCGCAAGTTCCGCCCTCTCGGGCAGGGCGAGGTATTGAGTCCTTTGGAACCTCCTGTTCAACTGTTGCAGTTGCAGACTGGAGTAAATCGTTCTCGGCTTTCTCATCTTCTTGCCCTTGCCGTTTACCCTGAGTCCCGGGTCATCGGAGAGACCACATTTCTCTGTAACAAATTTTTTTTAACATATTATTACTTAACGTATTATTTATAGTGTAACAAAATTATTAAGTATTAATTAATTACAATGTAACAACATTATTAAATATTTATCTATGAATGCATTTTCACTGTTCTATTTTCTGCTTTGTGTTAAAATAATCCCCATCAATAGTGAAAGCTTTAGTTATCATATCACATTGCGAAATCAATACAGTAAATTGATTTTTGTCTATAAATTAACCAACTATGTGGTTTCAACATAATTTCTACTGTAGATTTTTATATACAAAGCATTTAAGCTGTCTGAGTGAGTCGTGGTAGCACAGGGGATAAACGGTCGCTGTAAGTTTCACAGTACGCGAGCAACCCGGGTACGATCCCCGCTGGCACCAAGGAAACTATTGACTGCAAATTTAAGTGCTGATTTACCACGTGCTCGACGGTAAATTAAAACATCGTGAGGAAACCTGCATGTCTATATTTCGAAGACCGAAGTTCACCAACACACATTGGGCAGCACGGCTGACATTTCTTTGCCCTAAAAACCCTCTCAGAATTTCTCAATTCTCAGAGGCTTATGCCAAGCAATGAGACATTTATAGAAATAGAAATAGAAAATATCTTTATTTAACCAAAAAGACATTACATAATTAAACAATACACTGGTTTCTGCACTAAGCTCTAGGCTTATATCGCAAGAATCAAGAACATTCACTGACACTAATTAATACATAGGACTATATAGGGTATATGCTATAACTTTAAGGTATTTGTACCTCCCTTTATCGTCTTTAGGTGTGAAAGATGTAATTTGAAATTTTATATGTGAACAGCTGTTGTTACTATCGTAACTACTGTATTCTGTTTTGACTTATTTACACACACAATTTTTCTTGTGTCGACATTGTAAACTAGATTAAATTACACATAAAGAAACACGATATAACGCTCTTTTTATTAAAAATGTAATCCAATTAAAATATTATATTCTGATGTTTGCAGCTTACTTGTAATCGTAAATGTATCTATTATTCACAAGCCTATAAGACTTCGGATGTATGTACTAAAAATGTTAATAGAAGTGTTATAATTTATTGCGACGTTCCAGAAACATGAGAATGTACGACCGGCATTAAAATGAAAAATTATATCCGTGCTGAATTCATTTACAGTTTACACAGTTCAGCATGATGCCTGTTTTAAATTTTGCGCAATCTGGAAAATTGCATCAATGTTTTTACACATCAATAATATTTCTTTTTAAAAAAAAAAAGATTAACAATAATTTTAAAAAATGAAATCTCCTAGTGTCCTGTTTTCAAAATGTTTGTAATGCTAATCCCCATAGTCTGTAGTAAACATTTTTGTACAGTGCATTCAGTTTTGGACCATTAGCAGTTGCATTAAAGTACAAATTCAGACTTCAAGAAGTTGAACACTAAAACTAATATATTTATAATTTTAATATGGATGTAACTACCTATCAATCCTTTTGAACAAAACTATAGTTATATTAATAAACATAATAAAATAAATTACAGCTGTGTAGTGGTGGCGTATGAGTTTATACTACCCGAAATCAATCCGTGGGTCTGTCATGAGATGCGCCAGATGGAAACGAAACAAATGATGGGCAACAGTATCCTCCTGACAGCAACTCAAAGTAATAAAAAACCGCGGTTGCCCACCCACCTAGGTATGCACTTGCATGCACAGCAGTGAACTTTTGATAGATTATAATAAATGAATGAATAACAACAAAGCGTTCTAAATTTAAATTCAAAATTCTCAAATCAAACGCACATTTCGGCCAACACTCACACCCCAAACATAAATCAACGAACACAAAACGATGCAATAAATCTATAAAATAAATATTCGAGCCATACGATACCTCGTGAAGGCTCGCCATCCATTTTGTGAAATATATGAAAGCCACTCGCTACTTGATAATAGTCAGTGGTAACTTGTAATTACTGCTTTAATATCGCTACATCTGATCGCCGCAAGACCAACAACCCGACACCCGACTTTTTGGCGGTGCGCGTGCATTATCTGAACGCGGCTTGTCGATAACATAAATAATATTTATAAAATATATTTTAAAAGGTCTAAATGTAACGTTTTATAATGTTTTTAATTGGATTGCCGAAATAAAGTTTTAATATATTTTATTTTAATACTCTATGTATACTTTTTATTATAAAAAGGCGAAGTTTTAGAGATGGAAATTATTCAAACTAAAAACTTTTGTTGTTTTTTTCTTAATTTTTTGACATAAATTTGCACTAATTTATTTGATTATAATTATAGAACGAGATAGTGTACGTGATTTTACATTCATAAAATGCAAACTTAAATGATTTTCATTCAACTCTTAAACCGTTGCGGAAATTAAAAAAGAATGCGAGAATTATTTTTAGTTTCTACTTCATAAGAAAAAATATAATTTTATCTATAAATCTGTTTTAACTACATAAATGTCATCCTACAACATAATTCGAAAAACAATTGACAACTTAATAAATGTAACATGGATCGCAAATCGTTTCACACTCGCTCATTTGCACTGTAGCCGTGTGGTGTGTATTACACAGATCGAATTCCGCAAACATATTATGCACTTGAAATTGGTTATTACGACGCCTCAACTAGCGGTAATAAGGGTTATAAAGACTGCATTATTGTGTTGGCAAGTGTTTGATAAACGAGCGCGGGTTAGCAAACAATTTTGCATATCGCGGAGAATCGCTACACACGCTTGGCCGGCAAAGGGGTTTGAATTTAGAACAACGAGCTCTAACTTTTTTTCAGTTTTAATAGCGTTTGTCTATTTTATTTTTCACTAAATAGTTTTTATAAGCTTTGATTACGATAAATATTTAATTCTTATGTAATTTACATAACTTACTGGTGGTTAATGATATTTAAAGTATTATTATTAATTTTTCAAATAATTAAATATATAAATCGTATTCCAAAAGCCTAATACGGGTATAGAAATGCGTGGTTATGTAAGTCTAAAAACTTTCCAAGACCAGATTCCCATGATGTTGAATAAAAATTATTATATATGTACTCATATAAGAACATGTATTCACATACGCATGTCGGCGTCCGACAGACAGACAGACAAAACAATGCTGAGGGCCCGAGGTACAGACACACCCCTGAGAAGTAGTGACGTTACATTACCAACTTGTCGATGGTATTTTAGTGTTGGCCCAATGGACTTGGATATGTAGTTTTTATTTTATATTCTTAATATTTATTTTTGAACTAAATTATATCACTATCTTTATTTATTTAAATTTACAAAAAAACATTTTTTGTCCTTTTATTGTAATTGTTATTAAATAGCATTGAATTTAAAACCAATATTTAAGTAACTAAATTTTAAGCGCCTAAAAGTTACTTGTAAAAGAATAAATTAAAGAAAACACGCCACATTTGGCAAGTCCAACTAACGGCATCGCGATGTATCACAAAAGTATAAGGTCATATAAAAAGTCACCTAAAATATAAATAATAATTGTTATTCGCTTGGCGTTAAACGATCGTGGTAAATCAGTAATCGTTTTGAAAATTATCATGTTTACACACTTGTATACACTTTCCCATGTACCATGACATTAGCTTATCAGTAATTTAAAATATGAAGATAACTAAAAAGAGGTGTTACGGGACAGGAAATGACAGTTTTTTTCAACTTTAATTTTTATAAAAAAAAATTAAAACAATATTAAGCATTCAAAATGAGTACATAAGTTTTAAATTCATTTTCATATTATTTTAAATATTTTTAGCAAAGTTATGTTGCTTACATCGACAATGTCTAAGTTTCATAGTTTTCATAAATGAAGTCTTGGTTAATGTTTTAGTATTCATTTTCATAATAAATTATAAGAATCCGTATATGTAATTTATAAAAGACACAATAAAACATATAGTTTGCACAATTTAAATTTAAACGTCAATTAAACTTAATATTTAATTTATTTTTAAAGTATTTAATAAAAGTTAAGCAAGATGAAAATATAATGTTTCCTTCAGCGTAGCCCTATCTCCGACGCTGAGTCGCGCCGATCCCGCCCCGCCCATCGAAACCGCCTACCGAAAAACCGAGCATAAAACGAGGTAACTAAAAAACAATAAAACCCTTTTCCAAAAACATTTATGCTTCGACAAAAAACACTTTAGATACGCCGACGAGGTGCAGACGGGCGACTGGAAAACGACTTTCGTCGCAATTTTACTTAATGGCATGGGTAATTTGAGTAAAATCGTCCGCAAAAAAATCCCGTCTTGCGAAGCAAACGGGTGCATTTGAATGTGATAAGCTATTGGTTTTGTCATTTTTCTTAGACGGTTATAATTTCTAAAAGTATCTTCTTCAATTAGAGTACAGTAGGTACATAGTGTAGCGGTTGCACGCAAAAGTTCTCTCGTCGGCCTAACATACACATGTGCAAGATCATAAGAGACACAGTCAGGGCTAGACTAATGTAACCTTTCACTAGTGTTATATTTTTTTTATATTATAGGGTGACAAACGAGCACACAGTCCAACTGATGGTAAGCGGCTGCTGTGACCCATAGACAACTACATCTCTCCTCATTAAAGAATCAAAATGTAGATGCGTTCTCACACGTGAGGACTAAGATGAAATGCCTCTTTTCCAGTAAAAAGGGTCTCCGGTTCTCTACACTCACCATACAAAACACAGTAGTATTAAGCTGCTATTTTACGTTGGTATTCTGTGAGAGCGTGGTCCTTCCCCGGTCGAGCCGACCCATTCGTGATACAACTATACAACTAATATAGTATGTCTCTACCACGTAGAAAAAATCAATGAACATGATGGTTATCTATATTAATTGAGGGTATTTGACTCAATTAATATACATGACACCCCCACGATAATACTTTTGCCTTTTCACTTTTTGAACTTATAGTTCTTTACCGGGTTTAAAATTTTGACAAAGTATAACAGAAGTACGGT